GGCAAAACACAAATAAAATAAAAACTCACGACACCAAACAAAATTGCTGATAAAAAGGGTAACAACCTTTTATATCTTAAAGTCCGTTACATAAAAACAAAATTGTTCTCAATTCCCGACCCGCTCTGTGGACTATGGCACCAAGCTTCTATCACACAAAAGGAAAATGTCGAATTACCTACTTTCTAGAATCATGTATGTATGTCGAGTGTGGTTCAGTTCGACACTGGGGCTAATTTCTATCGATCATTCGCAGTTGATTCTTCTCTCCGACTTGAGTTGTATTTCTTCTTTTCTTCTACTTGGCTGGAAGTTCTTCTTGAAGGGTTCTTTTCTCGCTGCCGTCCGGGGATGAACTTTAACTTCTCATCGACTTTCGGCTTGTCTGCAGCTCCAATTCTTCTCAGGCTTTCAGGCAATCTTCTTCTTCGTCTACTTGGGCTGGAAGTTCTTCTTGTCTGAGGGTTCTTTTCGCAGCGTCCGGGGATGAACTTTAACTGCAACTCCCTCCAACTGATTTCTGCCGACTGGGGTCCTGCTTATATTGACGCCGCAACAAACCGGGGTGTGGGTCGGTCGGCGTCAGGGTTTTCTCGATAATTTCAAAAGCCGTAAAATTTGACTTTCCATTATCGTTATTGTTTCACCCCACTTTTCACAGTGCTCTTGGGTGGGCGGCGCATATCTATTTCTCTTAGTCTCTCTCATGTCAGGTGATCGCTCTCAACCAATCGTTCCCGATCGAACCTCTCTTTCTTGATTCTGACCGCCTCGTCCAACAGTTATTGATCGAGGTTTTCTTTCCTTCTTCTTCCGCGGTCACGTGATTGTATTCGACCAATTGTTATTGACCGAACACCCTCTCCTTTTGTTGGCGGGTGTGGTTACATCGTGCTGGTTTTAAAAAACAAAATCCGATTTGCACCTTTTTGCACGTACGCAAAATGACAATCCTTGCCCTCTCTCACCTGGACTTTGTCAAACAGCCCTCTGCTAATTAGTCTTGACTTTAGAAAAGGTTCTTTTCCGCCTTCTTGGCGCCCCCTCTGTGGTCCAAAAACAATTGCTCTTTCTTTTTTTACTTCTTTGTTTTTACCTGATAGTCGAAAATCTTAATTATCTAGGTCGAAATATCTCTACTTTTTCTTAACGTGGGTGTCCAATTCTTAACAGGTCAATTCCGTATATCGTTTTCACCAGTCACTTCCCCAACCCAAAGACACTTTCTCTCTGACTAAAGTAAAATTCATTTCTATCATTCTAATTTAAAAGTTACCTTTCGTTATTTTGATAAGAATTCTTCTACGAAAATGTCGGTCAGCGCTCGCGACCGATATCCAATTCTATTCTTTCAACAAAAATTAAGGTCAGTCAGAGGCTCTGACCGACAAAAGCGGCCTGTTTTGATATCATGTCTTTTCCTTTCTTTCCCCCTTTTGTTATTATCTTTCCTTTCTTCCTTGTTCCTTTCTTTCTTTTTCCTTGCTTTAGGATCGTTTAGTACATTCTTAGTGAATTATTTTCAACCCAGTTATTTTCCGTTTTAAATTAAAAAAAAATTAACAACCTGTTTAATAAACTGAATAAGAAAAATTAACTCATATTTCTATGAATATTTCCAATAAATGCAATATATATATAATATATATATATATACGAAAAGACTTCTCACTCAAACCTACACTACAAACACCAAAAAAGAATTCCTTTTTTATGCAAAACTAAACAATTCTACTTAAACTTTGCCTCTACAGATAATTTGAATGTATGTTATCTTTTGTCCTTGTTATATACTTGTTACTATGTATCCAATCTACCTTTTTCTTCATTCAAAATCTTGTTTGTTAAATGTGTTAGTTCTTTCAATAAACAATACAACTAATAAGGTAGTTTTCAAGACTGACTTCCCAAATACTGCACAACATATTATATATGTGTAGGAGGGGGAGGAGGAGTAAGCATGAGCGTCAATTGTAATTATGTACCCAGGGGAAATGCTGAAAGGTAAAAAACAAAAAAATGATCAATTTTAAATAACACATCATAATTAATACATTTAATTAATAGCATAATAAATATTGCCTGTTACAGTTTTTAACTGCTTCCTCATTGTCTGTTCTGTAAATTTCAAGAAAAATTGGATTATTTTCAGATTTACTGGATGGGGGTTAATTTTTTATTGATTTTCCAATGTTACAAAGGTATGAAAACTTAAATTTAATACCTTAAGAACTTATGATAATATTTATACACATGCCATCAAAACTGATGGCAATTGTTAGAAAGTTTTAACAGTGAGATGCAATGAAACAAAAGTCTTGAGATTCAATAAGATGGAGATAAAGAATTCACAACTAATATAGAGACCAATGAACCATTTAATTAATCCATCTCCTTCATATTATTTAGATGTTCAATGGTATCTAGGATTCATTGATTACTCCTGGTATTTATATAAATCACTTTTTGCTCAATATCTTTTCATGTTAAAAATGTTATGTGTTTAATATAACAGTGAAATGAAAATATCTCTCAGAAGAAAAAGATTAGCAATAGAACACCAAAGATGGTGATGACAAAGCCAAGACCAAGTTGACGCAAGATAATCACTTAATAGACAGAAGTATCATGAAAGGCTTAACAAATAAGACTGCAATCAAAGAAACATAGGAGTAAAAGAACTGATTAATTAAATAGTTTATTTTGTTTGAGACTTAATTTTGTCTAATATTTTATTAAAATGACTAATGGAAGTAATCACTCAAAAATTTACTATATTAAGTTGATTTACCTCCCTTCCCACTACAGATAAGAGAGGAGATATATTAATTGATAATTATTATATTGTTTCAGAAGTTGGAGTTACCATAATTGTAGTGGCTTGATAATAAGAATGGACAATTGTAGATGTCTGTTTACGGCTACATAAATAACATGACCACACAATTCATATTAAACGTAAAATACCACAAAGCATGAAATACAAGAAGGAACAAAATGGTTTAAAAAACATAACATTTGTATTTATTTGTGTGTTGATGTACATGCATAGAAGTTAAAGATCTGATGGAGTTATGTCTCTTAGACTGGGAATATTTTTATCTGTACTCACAAAAGTTGAATTAATTTTTAAACTGTAGTTTTAGAAGAATATTTCAAAGAGAAAAGTTCTTGTTGCATGTTTGGAAATGTTCTGTATGTTTGTAATGTAGGTTGGAAAAGTTTGTACGTACATGTATGCGTGAATATGCTTTTAATATCTGACTGCCATGGTCAAGACGAGAATGCTGGAGATCACATCTTCTTAGATGAATGAAGAAAAGAGAGAGAAAGCAAGCTTGTGTCTGCTATTTATAGATAATGTAATCACGTGACAAGATCACAGCACCTTGGCGGGAAACTTGGTCATGCGCTGGAAAAAATATATTGTGTGTGGGTGGATTGCAATGCCCATTTGTGTGTTTATTGACCAATTAGAAGCTGATATTTCCTGAAAATATTTACTAAGCTGAGAAGGCTCTGATCCACTTTTTTTGCACACAAATGTACAAAATTATACATTGATAAGGAAATGGTTGTGGGATTCTACAATATGGTTTGATGATAATATATTTTGTATTTTAAATAACTATTGAAAATTTAAACTTATAGCAGTTTTGCTTCTTTTTTTTTTTTTAAATTATTTCATCCTAAGCAAGGTGATAAAGGCATTAAGATGTAAGGGGTTACTGAGTATGAAAGAGAATGAGAAAGTGTTAGTGATGAGAAAGGATAATAAATGAACAAACAGATTGAAGATAACAATTGATGTTGCATTTAAATTTCTGAAGACTGTAGTTTACAGGAAAGTAAGAAACTGGAAGAGAGTTCCTCAGGTGAGAAGTTTAAGAGAAGAAACTATTAGAATAGAACATGGTTACATCTAATTATTTCAACAGTAAATTGATGAGACCTAGCTACCAATCTAGTACTACACTCAAATTCATAAAATCAAGGTACCATAGAAGAAAGGTCATCAGAACAATTACCATGAAAATATTTATGTCAAAACATACAGGAAAGCTATGTTTGGTGATGGGAAAATTACTGTTGCCCAGATACTAGGTCAGGCCTCATAATATTGCAAATTCTTCTTTGGATTTTGTTAGGAATCTCAAATTATATAGCAGGAGCACCAGACCATATGAGGCAGCAATATTCAATGCATGAATGAATGGTAGACTTATAAATGTGTAAGATAGACTCTGGCAAGAAAAATTGTCTAACATGACTCACTGCACTAAATTTCCTAACAGTAGACCACAAAATTGATTCAATACAATCTTTCCACTTCATGTCAGCAGAAAACTTTAGCCTAAGAAGGTGCAATGAGTCACTCTCCTTGCTGATGGAAGGCAAAAAATGTTCTCTCAGACTAATTTCATTTTGGAGGCATTAAAATTAACAAGTCGTTTCTTGCCCCAGTTAACAACAGATTGTAGGTAATTTTTGAGCTTAGAGAGACTAGAAGCCAGTTCAGGAAGCACATTTCTTTAGCTCAATTACAGGGATATCATCAAGTCTACATGCTTTGTGGGGATCAAGTTTGGTGATGATAGCAGAAAACATAGACAAAGTTATATGCATATCAATACAGTAAAGAATCTGTTCTAGGTGGAAAATCAGGCAAACATAGTCTTGATGAGTTGAGAGCAGAATTAAAAGAAGACATTTTTGTGAAGATTAAAGACCTAGAGAGAGAACCAGAGCCAATTTCTATAATTTGGGTTTTATAAGATAAAAATATCTTTCAGCTATGAATTTGTAATTATAATAAGCATTTTGAATATTCCATTGATTGTTTTTCAATTTGCTAAAGCGTGAATTCTTTAACTTTAGAATAATTTATGGAATAGTTATCTCCCTTCTTCTAATGATGGCGTGTGTTTGAGGTGTTTTTAACACGGAATCTATGGTTGTATTTTGAAGTCTCGTCTATTTCAAAGAATCTATTACTAGAAATGAAATCGGAAAAATCAAAAAGCACTGTGAAATCTTCAAAGAGCCGTAGTGATACAGCGGTAAGACAAAAAAGAATATTTGTCGTTAATGTTGGAATGAAAACTAAAGTGATCCTCTTCTTAAGTAAAAAAAAGTTATTTATGTATATAAATTATTGCATTTTGATTTTGTTTCTAAAATAATCAGTCAAATTTTTGTCAGACTATCGTTTCCGATAATCTTTGTTAAATATTTTCTGAAGGAAATTTTCTTGAATTATTGTCAATCGCATATCACCGAGTGAAACATTTTTTAATTTATTACTTGATGGATTCCGCTTTTCTCGATTATATTAATTAAATTCCATAAACTCTTAGAAAAAAAACGTATTCAAAATTATTAACTAGTCCAAATTTACTGTTTTCCATATTTTTAATACACACTGACTCAGTTACCTAAAAAAATGAAAGAATCAGAAATAGTGTCTAATAATATTTTTATTCATTTTTTAGTAAAGTATTTTTTTAAATCGCTTATTACAGAAAAATGCCGATATTGTCAATAAAAAATGAAAAGAAATGAAGGCGCTATTACACTTTCGCACCCCACTTGTAATATTTCGATGCGATGTAATTTTTTTCCCCGTTTTACTACACGTGGTTATCCTTTTTGCATTGCTTTCATCCGTCTGCCATTACTTTTTACGTTGTTTACATTAATTTGCTGCGGAAGCTTACTAAGTTAGCGGCCTTTTTTTACTGATCTTCTTAACTAATCTTACTCGTCTCAATTAACCGGCAAGGGTATGCGGTTAGGATTTTAGGTAAAATGTTATTTAGAAAAGCAATGGAAAGTGCTTTTTTTTTTTTGTTTTTTGGTAAATTTGCCTTTTAAATATCGCGGTAAATATCCACTAAAATTTCCGTGTAAATGTACAATACATGCTGAACTCGAAATAATATGATAATGTAGTGAACAAAACCAGATCTAGATTTAAAATTCAGCACTGACTCATTGATTTTTTTTTTGTTAGAAATTAAAAAAGACTCGAATTTACAAACTTGGCTTAACACACACGCAAAAAAAGTGAATCCAAAACAAAACTCGTGAAATTTCACACCTGTAAGGTAGCAGCGAGACGACGTGTATCTGCCAAAATATTTATTGTTATGTAAAAAATAAATACAAACAAATGTGGCACAAGGCCAAAAAGGGGGATGGGGAATGACGGTCTTCTTCTGTCTTTAATCTAAAACTTAGCTAGTCACAGACACTGACCCAAACATGCCAACAATAAATCCAATCACCAAAACATCACATTCACAGTCACTCCTACCTTTCTTACTACGTCCACCATAATACCTCAATTTCTCTATGACGTCCTAACTAGTCCCCATATATACAGATATTGTTCATGGGGGGAGGGTCATAAAATAACAACTTTTAAAAACCCCAAATGAGTATTTACAAAATGAATTAATTATTTACAATAAAACTAAACAAAACTGAGTTAGTAATAAAACCCCCCACAAACTATGAATGTGGCAGAAATGTCAGTTAACCAGACGAAATCGATGCGGGACTAAGAAAATGAGTACACATTCAAACCATCAAGCATTCACACAAACACTCACTCATTCATACACAACAACAAATACGAAAACACACACCCGAAACGAAAGGCGCCCCGCATCCACCAGAAAACTGACATCACTAACCACCTAACGAGGGAGGGGATGGGGAATTAAACAAAAGTAAAAAATAGGGACAGAAATAAAAGGGACCAATGAGCTTACATACCCTAGCTAGGTTAAACGGGGAAAAAAAGGAAAACTAAATAATCAAAAACAAAAACCTAGTCTAACCTAATATCTGGGTGGGTTGCCTATGTTCAACCCTGTTAGGACAATATTCTGTGCCTAACCGACATCTAAATGCCACTCTAGGTCAGCCCTTTTCACTCTACACAAACGCACCAGATTCACCCACCTTTTGCGAATTCTGATGATGGGGAGCCGCTTTTCCGTCCTAATCTTGACTTTAAGCTGATGCCTAAAGTACAAGATCAGTTGGGAAGAGGTGAACTTCGCCTCCATAGAATCCCTTCTGTCTTGTCGTCCAAATCATTTAATTCGCATAACCCCTAGTAAGCAACAGAACACATAGTGTTCAGCCTTCGTCAATTGCGATACCACATTGCTACACCCAGAACTGGCTTCCAGGACAAAAAACTTTCCCTGCAGCATGCGAACCATGAGGCCTTCAACAAACTTGCACAAACGGCACTACAAGACTGCACTGAAAAAAAGGCGTGACCAATGGTCTCGACATTCCCAGTACAGCGACGACAGTTTGGATATTTCTCCAAGCCTGCTGAACAAAGTCTTTTTGCCGACCCAGAGGGCCCCACGAATCATCAGCCAGGTGAGTGATGCCTCATCGTTATTGAGACATTTCAACCCAGGCGCCCAAGGCCATATCGAGCGAGCCTCCCCCACCCAGAAGACCGAGCTCGTCGATCAGATCATCTTGAACGGACCCCTAACTAACACTTGATATAATGCCTTACGAGACAACGCTTGGGCGTCGGAGAGGCCAACCGACGTCCAAGAAGAGGCGACATTCACGATAGAAGGAGCATTCAGCCACGAGGAGCACGACGGCCTCCCCCGCACGAGTGCACACTTCTCAAGGATGGGAAATGTTTACGGACATCTTCTTTCCAAAAGGTGCCCACCTCATCCAAACCGCGACACATTTGGTCTAGAAAGGTAATGTGTAGCATATATTGACGAATCTCAATGCTAGGCATCCCCAGACCGCCCTCAGAGGGATGAAGGCAACAGATCTCGCGAGATGCCATGTGGGCCTTGCCTCTCCACAAGAAAGAGAACAAGGCCTTGACTAATGACATTAGTCGGGCATATGGGAGTGGAAGCACAGAAAGACGGTAGAGGAGGATCGGATAGATGTGAACCACAAACTTCCGCCCTTCCCTTCAGGGAAAGTCCCTCCGAGACCACAGACTACCGCCGGCGGCCTCGGCCCACCCTTGTACCTCCGACCAATTCTTTTCCAACTGGAGATCAGGACCCGAACCAGACACCGAGAATCTTGATCGCCCATCCGTCCAGAGGAAAGGTCCTGGAAGAGAAACTCCCTTCCACGCACCCAACCGCAAGCCCACAGACTTATCGCGGTTGATTTTGGCCCCTGTCACCATCTCATACCCACTGATCTGCTTACTGACTTCGTTAATCTCGGCTCTGCTCGACACAAGAACCGAAACGTCGTCAGCATAGGCAGAATACCTGGCCGAGGTGTTAGCACCAGGCAGCGAAATACCGCGTAGGACCGGATTCGCCTTTAACTTGTGAAGGAAGAACGTAAAGCAGAGGCGATAGCGGACAACCTTGACGAATGGAGCGAGACATTCACTTCCACCAGCGCACCGGGGGTCGCATACAAGAGTCGGATCCAGGAGCGAAAGTCGGCTCTGAAACCGGCCGCCGAAAGGACAGCCTCCAGAAATCGATGGTCAACCCTATCGAAGGCCTTGGACTGATCTAAATTGATCAGCGCGGCTTCACTGTCGTTCTAAGATCAGGCGTACCATATGAAGGTTATCCTGAATAGTCCTGCCCTTCACAGCACAAGTCTGTTCAGGGCCAATCACACTAGACAGGACAAGCTGCAAACGGTTGGCTAAGATCTTCGCCAAAATCTTTAAGTCAGTGTTTAACATCGTTAAAGGCGAAAGTTCCCTAACCCATCCCCTCCGTCCTTGTCCTTACGCAGCAACTTGATGACACCTCTGGTGAAGCGTTGAGGTAAAGACCCCTGCCTCATCCAGTGGTTGTACATCAGCTCCAGCAAAGGCACAAAAACGTCGACAACCTCAAGTAAACCGTGAGGGCAGACCATCTAAAGTCCGGAGACTTATCCAGACCAACCTGCTTCAGCGCTTCCCAGATTTCCGACTCTGTTATGGGACCCTCGCACCTAGCCACTTCGCTGCCGAGAGGCAGGGAAAGTCAGCTAAATAGGCGTTGAACTGAGCAGAGCTCAGACCGGGCTCCCCTGGTGAAAAGCTCCTGAAAGTAATCTCGAAAGACCTCACATATGCCCGCGTTTGTAGTCACAGTCCGCTTATCCGTAATGTGACGACGCTATATGTCGCCTGGTATTCTCGATTCTCGTCTACACGCAGTTCAGCGGCCATATTTGTTGCCTCAGAAGACATTCTTTTTAACCTAGCCCTAACTACCAGAGCTTGATCCTTCTCGATAAGCAAGGAGGCCAACTCTGCCTTAGCTAAGACTACGTCCCCACTAACACGGGATTTCACGGCCCGATCAACTTTTTTCCTCTAAAGCCGTTTGCCGCTAATTTATCTAAATTGAGCCGACGACTCAAAGTCGGCAGCAAACGTCTGAATCTTAGATTTTAAATTGCCCCACCAGGCATTTCCCACAACCGCCCCGTCCGAATTCCCTCTGGATCGTTAGTAGCAGCTGGTCCCGGAAAGCCTGATCACTGAAAAGCGAACAGTTCAATTTCCAGTAACCAGCCAACCTAACCTTAGGCTTATCTAAGTTTACACGGACCCGGACAAGCCTATGGTCCGTATAAACTATATAATGGAAACTTGGACAGCCTAAGAAACCTACATCGACTCTCCTAACTAAGACTCGGTCCAGGTAGCTGCTTAAGCGAGCCAGGAGCCGAGCTGCCGCTAGTAGTCCAAGTCCATGCTACCTCCCGAGGGTGTTCATTCGGAACTTATCGGCGAGATCAAACCCATCGATAAAGTCCCGAAATGGTTTCACATCCGGGTTGTTAGTACCTTTTTTGTGCCCTATACGATCTATATCGGGATCAAGGACGGCATTCCAATCCCCGCTAAAACTACCCGACGAGGCGTCGTCCAAGAACGGCGCGATCTGCGAAACAAAGCAGGCCATTGAATGGGTATTGGGCGCATAAACCCCAATGAGACGAAGAAGCTTATCCTTTATGGTAACATCCAGCACGCAAAAGCCTGCCCGCCGGATCCGCGAAGACAAGGGTACATGCAGCC